GCTCGCAATTCGCTCCAATACCCAACAGAATTCGGCTACTGACTGGTCCTCCTTTAAAGTCAATTTCCTTAAGCCAGATAATGCCTTAATCTTCTCGTTATTACCGTTAATAGCCATGCGTCTTTTCATCGCCTCGATAACCCCATCAAACGACCCTCCTCGAATCTCGGCGGGCAGAGTTCCGAAAACCGTTAGCGCGTTTTTGCGCAAAAAACTATTCAACAGTTGTATTCGGCTTGAGTCTGTCCTTTTATTTTTCGGATATTTCATTCCAAATGAACACAAAAATCTTTTGAAACATTCATGAGGTTTTCCTCCAAAAGGTTGCACCTCAAGTAATGACATTGTTCTGATATAATCACTCACAGAGGAATCAGAAATGCATTCCTCACCTGTGTCCGATGATCCTCGAATTCTGATTTCGCTCCTTGATTCGACGTTCTGCGTAAGCCTTAAGGATCTCTGGGTCGATTCCATCGAGGTCGCTTGCTGCGAGTCCTGTGATAGACAGTCTGATCTAACACCTCTCTGTACCATGTGCCAATTGGAATCATTACCAATATCATCTTGATCATCGCCTGGGTTTACGACTTGATTTCTCCACTCTTCCATTCGCTGGCGCAGCTCCTCCGCCTGCAATCTTTCTCTATCTAACTCTTCCTTCATTTCGAAATACTTTTTACTGAGACTGGCCGTAGTCACAAGCGCTTCGTCAACTTTACGACTTATTTGACTCAGCGGGCACTCTAATTTCTGCGACAATTTGTCCAATGCAGACTTCATCTCTTCGCATTTTGTCAAATGATTTTTGAGGCGCCCCACATCGCAAATTCCTGCGGATTCTAAAAGTTCTATCACTTCGTCGTTTAACTTTGAACAGCACTTATCCCACATTTCTCTCAATGTAATGCGCACCACCTCTTTCATTAATGCGCTTTGCTCCGAAACAACTGCCATTATTGATTCCCTTTTTGGTTCGTCAGTCCGCATGGTCTTGGACAACTCATTGTCGCATTTGATCGCTATTGTGGGTAAAAGCGCCATGACTTTAGGGCTCAGCTTATCGAATTCCTTGTAAGGACTCACCCCAGAGCCTGCTCCGCCTTCCTCCATTTCCATGTCATCCGGGGCCTCAGTATTTCTCACCGACGTATGCGGCGATCTCTCCGAACTAACTGGAGCATGCATATCTTCAAGCTCAAAAATTGTCCCACGTTTATTCGTTATCAACACGACGCGAGTGTTCTCGCGGATTACACGAACGAATCAGAATCGGGACACTGTTGCCACAACACTATAACAACCACTAGGTTGAAATCACAAAGTGTTTCCTTTGATCAACAACTACAAACAAGTAGTTGGAGCAATACTCAGTTGAATCGCCGTTCGCTTTCGACAACTACTCCCAGGTAGTTGGACTGTTTTCTATTAATTATGTGCTCTACAAGCTTCACTCCACAGCTACACTATGTAACTGGGTCAGCCTTTCCTATAGTTGGATTCACCTGCTTTCAACCGTCGTCTCGTACGGGATGCAGGGCTTTATAGTAAAACTCGCTGACTCGTTTGAGGCGGCTTGGCCCCCATATGACGTAAACACGCAAGTACAAGTAGTAAAGGTTGAACCTAAAGCGATAGTCAGCACAAACGCAAAAAAACAAATGGTTTATCGCGAACGAGCGAAGCACAAAAAAAATGNCAAAAATGAATGCAACTTTGCTTGGAATCGTTCTAGAATGCGGAAAAAGTGATTGGAGGTAATGGAACGATTGTGGCCAAATCCTCGAAGTGGGCGGGGTTGGCACTGAAGTGCGCGGGGCTTAGACAAACATTTATAACCTTATTCAGAAACTTTCTGGAAACACAGCCCCATTTCACATCCCAAAAAATGATGGCCGCTACAGAAGCGTCAGGGAAGAAGCCCAGTGATAATAAAGGTCTATAGTGAAAATCAGAAGATCATGTGGCTCCGTCCCTCATGGCTAGAGCCCCTAGCGCGCGATAGCGTGCGTAGCTGCTTAGCTGCCTGGTTTTCATACAAACCGCAATGCACTTTATTTACTCCTTAGCTCTATGGGTTTCCAGAGGATGGCTAGAAGATGCCTTGCACTCCTACATAGCACTCGCTCTACTTGCATGTCTGCATTGAAATACTTTATTCGGGGATCGGAACTGTTATTATGAAACCATGCTCATGAGGATAATCCAAATGAATACGACAATCGAAATCGAATAACAGTGGGGGCCGGAGCATTCACCCAGAACAGGATGGACGCGGCAAATGGCGCGACGAGATTCGTGACGTTTAGAACGACTTCGGCACCTATCATTGGGGGGCAAACTTGAGGTAGAGAACATTAGTATAGTCAGATGATCGTACGAGTAAACTCCACTTCAAATTTGGGCCCCAATGATAGGCGCTAAAATCGTTTAACCCATTGACGACATTCTGACGCGCATGCGCGTCAAGGTTTTGTCACCACTCTTTTTTTGTGAGGTCGCGGCTTTTTGGAATTTTTTTGTGTTTATTCAATAGACAGTACATTAAGACTTCTACAAACAACGTGGTCCATGATCGGAGCAAATATGGTTAATTCCAGCACAGTTTTTCCAAAACTTGTAAAAAGATTCACTTAAAAGAGTACTTTGACTTCTTTTTCAAAACAACCATGTAAATCATAGAATTAATCATGAGTAATTAGTAACAAGGCACAATAACTACAAGAAATTACGTTTCTATGCGACAAGACTTGTGTTTTTTATTGAAACAATCAATGCAAAAGAATTTCCTGCATTTGCTGCAACGTGTGTTGACCCTTTTTGTTTTTTTCGATGCCATAGCAGATCCTTGCTCTTTGGACATGGCTGAGTAACACTCCACCCATCTCCTCCTGTTGATTCCTTTTGGACCTTTAGACACCTCCTCCAACACATGTCGCATGGAGTGAGAAAGACGAATCGAAGTGTAGCTGCTATCAACATTTAGCAGAGATTCGACCGCTTCTAGTTTGAAGTCATTCAGCCTGATATTCTTCACGACATCCTTGTACAGCTTCCAAGCGTTCACCACAGCTGTTTGCGTAATCAGGTGGAAAAAATCCTTTTGTACCACTTCATGGTTCTCCGTACAAATGGCGTGTGTGATGCCATCTGATCGGATAGGTCGACGAAGCCCTTCATTTCGTTGTAGTCATCCACGACCTCTGGTTTCTGAGACGTTCCCACCGCTGCGTCATGTTTCGTAGAGATCATGTAAAGGCCTCTTTTATCTCTCCATTTAAGCACGAGAATTCCATTCCTCTTCTGCTTGCAACAAAGTTGGCCTCTCTTCAACTTCGTTTCCTTGATTTCTTTGGGAATCCCTTTTCGGTTCCTCCTGAGAGTTCCAACGAGGTGGCTCCTTCTTGATGTCAATTTCTCGGCTAGTCCAACACTGGAGTAGAAATTGTCCGTGCAGACGATGCGGCCTTCATCGAGGTAACCTTCCATTAGTTCCAGCACAACATGATCAGCAAGTGGTTCGTGTCTTGAAGGGTCTTTGCCTGCGTAGATTTTTATCCTGACTGTATAGCCACCCTTAGCACCTAACTTGAATACCCTAAAATCCCATAGATATGAGCGGGTGAACCTACCGGGGAAAAATGAATTGGAAAAAATCGAAATTGAATGCAGTCACCCCTCTAACTTGATGGATGGGTAAATTAAACCTCGAGGAAGAAGATAAGAAGAAGCTCCG